TTAATAAGATTTAGCTTGAGTAAGCGAGTTTTATTGTAATGCCATGGTGTTCTAAACTCCTAAGTGCGATTTTCAAAGCAACAGAAACACTAGGTGGCGCGCCCTTGATTCTATGAGTTTAGACACCACGGCATTATGAAATCACTTGCGCTCCAAGTGGAAATTTAAAGGTTAATACGATTTAGCTTGAGTAAGCGAGTTTTATTGTAATGCCATGGTGTTCTAAACTCCTAAGTGCGATTTTTAAAGCAACAGAAACACTAGGTGGCACGCCCGTGATTCTGTGAGTTTAGACACCTCGGCATTATGAAATCACTTGCCTACCAAGTGGAAATTTAAAGGTTAATATGTTTTAGGTTGAGTAAGCGAGTTTTATTGTAATGCCATGGTGTTCTAAACTCCTAAGTGCGATTTTTAAAGCAACAGAAACACTAGGTGGCGCGCCCGTGATTCTGTGAGTTTAGACACCTCGGCATTATGAAATCACTTGCCTACCAAGTGGAAATTTAAAGGTTAATTTGTTTTAGCTTGAGTAAGCGAGTTTTATTGTAATTCCATGGTGTTCCAAACTCCTAAGTGCGATTTTTAAAGCAACAGAAACACTAGGTGCGGCGCCCGTGATTCTGTGAGTTTAGACACTTCGGCATTATGAAATCACTTGCGCTCCAAGTGGAAATTTAAAGGTTAATATGTTTTACCTTGAGTAAGCGAGTGTTATTGTAATGCCATGGTGTTCTAAACTCCTAAGTGCGAGTTTTATCATGCAACAGAAACACTAGGTGGCGCGCCCGTGATTCTGTGAGTTAGACACCACGGCATTATGAAATCACTTGCGTACCAAGTGGAAATTTAAAGGTTAATATGTTTTACCTTGAGTAAGCGAGTTTTATTGTAATGCCATGGTGTTCTAAACTCCTAAGTGTGAGTTTTATCATGCAACAGAAACACTAGGTGGCACGCCCGTGATTCTGTGAGTTGGACACCAAGGTCTTATGAAATCACTTGCGCAATAACTGGAAAATTAAGGGGTTTACAAGCTACAAAAGCTATATGTGTGTCTTGGAGTGTTTTTTAATAGGAGATTTTCTTGTAGGAGACCCTCCGCCAGTTATCTTTTTCCGCATTTATTAGTAAAAGATTTGTTTTCTCGTTACAAATAAAACACGCGTAGCAAAATTCCGGCACTTTTAGTACGTCCTAGAAACTGGAAAGCACAGTACTTAACCGTTTATTCGGAAGAAGGCTTTTCTTTTTCTTTTTGATATTTATTTAGAACAATACTGTTGCGATCCGTTCGCGGAGAATCTCGGCTAATGCGGTTACATTTCGAAAACAATATTTTTGTGGTCTCGCGTTCTCCTCGCGCGCGTCCTTTTGCTTTTAATCACCTGGAAACTTTGGTTTTATGTGGTAGTTACAAAGAAACGTTTCGGCGCGGCCCGCACAATGTAAATAAATTTAAGCAAAGTGGCCGAGTGTTCTGAAGTTGCTCTCTTTGAAAATTTTAAAAATAGAATCGAAGATGTATTTACGGAGGTTCCGGTTATCGTTTGGGGACAAAGGCATACTTTGATTGTGTTAATTGCTCCTGTCGGAATAAAATGTCATATGAATTAGCAAGATGACGTGCGATTAATAAGTTCTAGGGGTTTCTCATGGTTTCCGACCTTCGATCCTGCACTATGTTGTCAACAATTCCTTTGTTGAGCTCATATGTCAGTGGTGTGAGCGTATGTATCTTTGTGGCTTTGTATCTTTGTAACTTTGTATCTTTGTATGTTCGGATGTTTGTTGCAAGAGCCAATAAGGTTGAAGGTACTATGAGTTGATGCTTAGGAACCAATGAGATCTTGGCATCTACTTAAACATGACACTGCTAAAGGTCGAACAAGGGCACTTTGAGACCGCGATCTTGATTCTTGACAATTTTTTCGTCTTTTATTATGGCTACAGGTGTTTGGAAACTTTATATTAAATATGATGCAAACGCTTTGTACAGTGATGCAGCTGTTTAAGGGTTCATAATTGTGTGGATGCTATTTTAAGACATTTCTGACCGAATTCGGCTATCGCGAACGGTACTGACGCACGTATTTATGAGTTGTGTTTCACCTGCTTCAAGGTAGAGTATAAAAGATCATATATTTTCAAAGCTCTTCCAGTGAAGCAATAATTGATATTTAGATATGGACTTTAATTTGAAAGTATGCGGCCTATAAAATGTGGTTTTACAAGTTTGAAAGGCAGCTTATTTTTTTTACTGCGCTTTTCACAAACATGCGAACTCTAAAGTTCAAAAGCCGCCTTCACAATTATGTTTTTCGCTGCCGTCAATCATAATTACGATCACAAGCAACGAACCTTGAAACACAGAAACACACAAAACGGATCGAAATCCACCAATCACAAATCACAAACCTTGGCCTTTTGAACCCCTTAATGTAAAGTTTTGTTTCCTAAGAGGTCCGTTAAGATGATTGACGGCAGCGAAAAACGCAAT